TACGAATTTTTATATAACTTAAAATAAAAACGAAACTTAAATGGATGAAACCACAGAGAGGAAACTGTCTCAGCACAAGCTCTCTAAAAATGACTTGCGTCGTTTTACATGCGTTTTTACATGAGTGAGTGTATGTGCATGGGATATGGTATGTACTAAGAAACAAAGCGAACCATGCAAGCAAAGAGAAAAGTTCAAGATGAAGGAAGTTTTCTCTCTGTCGTTCTCTTAGCATTCGATTACCGTATATGGAGGAAGCTTTTATCTAAACAGAAAATTTAGGAAAATGCGTCTCTCTTGTTAGATATAAATTATTTCATTTTAATAATTTTTTTCGGTAAAAACTTAAGTTTCTTAAATAACTTTAATTAAAAATATTCAATCAAATTTTTTTATTGCGTTATCAGATCTAATATTCTGCTAATGTCCAGTGTGAACTTTCTTTAGTAATATTTGATGTCAAGCTTAATTACTAATTGTAAGTTTAAATATTAAAAATGCGACACAGATTCCGTAATTCCTACTAAATCTTTTTTTAAAAGAAATTAATTTAATGTTATAATGTTTAGGTATTAATATTTTGCTCAAGTCTCCAATATATATAAAATACTTAAAATTATTTATATTTTTATTTTTAATATTTAATTAAATTAAATAATTAGCTAGTTGGCTAGTTTATAGTCAGTGCCATATAACTAAGCTAGAAGTAAAAAAAATAAAGACAAAATTTAAATTGAAAGAAAAAAATAGCCGTAACGTAAAAGCTTTCTCTTCTTTATTAACATTAAGAGGGTATTATCTTTCTGCATTGTCTGATAATAAGAGTATAAATTGCAAAAGGTGATTGAATTTCTGACAGAGAAATCTATAATAAAGAATAGAAAATAACGTAACCAAAGTAGGAACGTTGCGAACGTTGCCACGAATGTAACAAAAGGACACCAGTAATGATTCGGTAGATTGTCAGTAAAGGATCTCTCTTTCGAACGTGTTAATGAGAATTTAATTTACTTAACAGTAGCTAGGTATCAATTAACAGAGAAAAAGCCCCACAGGCCTTTTACATCACCGATTGGATCTCGCTCTGTTTCAACGATCCTTTACTGACAATCATAATTGAAGGCAGAACATTTCAAACGCGTTAAGTGTTAGAAAGCCGTTTTTCTTTAACATTGGAAAAATGTCGCGTCAGTGATTTTTATTATGAGCACACCTTGTTGCCACAAGGCTCTTATTCTCCAATAAACTATTTCATTGTTTCAATTATAAAAGATAAAAAAAATATTTTTTTAATCAAAAAAAATAACATATTAATTTCAACATATTAATTTAAATGCTAAAAATTTACATATGTAACTAAGATTTTTCGAAAATTTCACATAATATTATAATTTACGAAATATTATCCTAATATTAAAGGATAAGAAAAATAACAATGTATTTCCAGATCTAAAAGATACCGTATTTTTGAAAAGAGGTGAGGCGCGAATGATACATAAACATACTCATGGCTCAAATATTCCACAAACCCACAGAGTTTTATCCCAATCATAAAGCGACAAATATTCTCTCGCTCCCTCACCTCCTCTAGAAAACCTCCTTTAGAAAACCTCCTCTAGAAAATCCCAACAAGAAATTGTAAATATTGCAGCTTGAGCGATTTAAAATGCATCATTCATCAACTATGCAGAAGCAAAATACGTGACACCTTGAAACAGCAAGTAGGTATGCAGACTTTGAGTCGTTATGATAAAAACTAAGAAGAAAAAAACTTAATCACTCAACAAGAAATTATTGATCTCTAATAATTATTTATGTAATATATTATCCATGCGCCGTACACTTATCGATGCAACTAATTTACATTATACAGTCAATTATAGTCAATTCTCGTTCGTCGTAAACAAAGTCTAGTACATACATTCCAGCGATAATGATAAACGCGGCAATTATTCTAATGTACGCAATTTATTGCAGCAATATCTAAGAACAGAATGTCTCATTGATTGATGTGTCAGCGAGAAAGTAAAGGAGTTCAAGTTCTATCGACAGTATATATGCATAAAATAAAATATATCTACTAAAATTTAGTTTTTTTTTCCATAGTCTTTCCGTATTCACGATAACATCGTATTATTTTCGGAACGACAATAATTTTGACGAATTGCGAAAAACGTAGGAAATTACTAAGAATGTTTACTAAGTTTATCGCAAAGTAATAATAAAGCATTTTACGATCCCGAGTACGTCACATTAAGTCGCAGAATTCTTCAAGATAAAAAACAACGATTAAGGTATGAGTGTTCACTTGTCTGGGGTCACTTTACTGCTTTTAAGGACAATACAATTAACTAAAAGTCATATCGCAATATATTCTTAAAAGCTATTTTGTTAACGTCACGTCTAGCGTTAAAAATATAAATTTTCAAAAATATGACTTTCAAAATATGACTCGAAAATTTATTGAATGTTGCATTACCAACAATTTATTCGCTAATAAATCTTAAATAGATCGAAGCAACTTTTTGAAACAATTAAAATAAAACGCAATTAACTAAATATTATATTCTTATATTAACTACGAATGAATGTTTATCTATTATATTATAATAATACGTGGACAGTTTGACAAGTCAGTAACTTTTTAAAAAGAGACTATGTTAAGAAATATATATATAAATCGAATTTTAGTTAAAAAAAAAAACAGTTACTTATCAAACTACTCACGTAAATTATTCAGTCATTCGATAGAAAAAGAATTATTTAATATCACTAATGTAAGATTTCACGTTGTATTTCAATTACAGTGAATAATCAACGCCGAGTTGATTGAATAAATTAATTTCATTAAATTTTCTGGAATCGTGACGACAGTATTACCACTTCGTCACGTTTCTCGTACATCTTCCTAATCAGTAACTATAGCACAAGTCCTGACGAAGATCTTTCTTGGTCCTTTCTCGCAGAGAGTATATGAGGTGCTTTTTCTTTTTGCGCGAAAACTATTTTTAGATCAACGGAGAGCTCTCCATTTGGCTCAGCGACACTTCTACAAGGAACTAAGGGAGCTGGTAAATACTGGAATGTACCGCGTGCCACCCCCGTATAAATCCCGCAGGTGCAATCTTGCGGAGGTAGTCCATTATGGTGGAATAGCGGACTCTCTCACCGGGATAACTCTGCGAAATCTCTTGGAGCTTACTTAAAACGAAAACGCGCTCATCCCACGAATCAATTGAGAATAACAGGTGATAAAAATTTTTAAATTTAAATATACCCTACAACAGATGAACAACTGGACGACAAGCTACGCGAATATTAAATAATATATTCCGTATTTATTCTTTGTTATTTTCGCATACAAAGCAAAATTTTCTTTTTTTCTTTTTTTTTTTACGACAAGACCATTTCGAGGAAAAAAACATGAGATATGCTTATATCAAGAAACGCTTATATCAAATTATTACTCGAAACTGAAGAGACAAAAGAATAATTTAAATTTTGTTATTGGAAAATATTGCGGTATCACGCACACTTTGTAATATGCTCTTTCAACTGTACGTATACAACTCTCAAGATAGACAATCAAATTGTCTATGAAAGAGTAATAACAACGCTAAACATAAAAGGACTTACGTTTATCTCCGCCTTTTATTTCTTCGGGTTCTTATGCGCCTCTTCTTCAAAGACTTCCTTTTCTTCCTTTTCTCCTCGAAGAAATTTCCAAGATCAGTAATCTTCGCACAAATCCAAACAGTACAGAGTTCTCAGTTCAAGCTACAAAATTTGTTCTGTTCTCGTCAAATAGAAGGCCACGACTCCTGAACGATGTAATGATCTAAAAAACAAACCAACCGCAATCAGAGATTAGATTAGATTAGATTACGAAACATCTCGGAAATATTATTTATCTGTAGTGTACAATAGCTGATGAAAATGATGTGTCTTAAGTTTTGATAACATAATGTGTCGAACAGATCTAATTGATCCGATAAATCTTGTTACGATTTCTTTTTTGCCAGATCTTTTATATTCATATAAAGAACAAATATGTATGCACAATACAAAGCAATATTAAAAGGATCAAATTGTTATATAGTACATTAAAAATGACAAAATATGACCATTCTAAGTGTACAGCTTACATAGCGTATCATAACTTCTATTGAAATAATTAATATCGATTTTATCGTTTTCTTCTATTAAACAACAGCTAGACAGAAAAACGAAAGATTGACATTTGGAATATTTTAAATAAATAAATTTTCGAAACAATATCTCTCCATTGTAAAATATTTAGTAATTAGAATCGCGTAGTTTTCCTTTCTATCTGTATATAATATATACATACATATATGTTATATACACACATTTTGCTGCTCACAAAATTCAAACAAATCTTGAAAATTTTTTTAATTTGTACTTAAACGAAATTATAAGCTATAAATACTAATCTTAAAATAACGATTCAAAGGCACACGAACGAAATGGCTACTGCAACAAATTGATATCCCTTTTTTTTTTAGATATACTCTTTGATGACAAAAAGCTCTTTGCTCAGTATGCGGTCAATTTGAAATGAGGAAATGGGAAGTAAACGACAGATCCGGCGGGCGGTTTAATACGCAATGCGTAAGAGGACTAATGCGCACAGATTTGTCGTCGAACGTCGTCACGTAGTCTTCCGCACGCATTCAAGTGCGCGGCGAAACAAGTTAATTAAGAGGACCACCCACGGTAGTGTCTCCGTTTCTCAACGAGATTGGCAACGTGCCAAGTCGGTACTCGAGAGTCGATTTTCCGCGTTCGTATCGTCTTCAAACACCTCAACGCCGAGTATCTCTCTTGGAATCGGGCAGCAATTTTCTTCCCTTTTTGTAAGAAAGTTACAAAGTGCATTCTCATTTCAGTTGATTAATTTGACAGACAAGTAGAACGATTCGTATCTGATAGATTTTTTGAGATAAAAAATAGAGGAAAAGAAAAAAGAAGAGAATTTGTAGAATATAACCTTTTGTGAATATAATATAACTACACAGATTAACAACTATATTACATAAAAAGATAACGTTTTTCTTTTTATTATTAAATCAAATTACTTAAGTAAATTATTTAATTGTTTTTTAATCGATAAATAATCTTTCATTAATGTTTTCTTAGAGTTTATCCTGAAAATATGATATTTTTGTGGAACAACATTGTATTTCCAAGAATTTTAATGTAAATCTCCCATTCATTAATAAAACTACAATAAAATATGAAATAAGTTTAATTAATTTGACTGAAATGCATAGTAAAAATCTTTAAAATATTGTATTGCACCACAACTACCATATTTTCGGGGTAAATTTTAAAACAAAATTCTCTCCGTATATTATTAAATGAGAAAGTAAGGATGCAAAATATGTACTTTATAAAAATAATATTCTTTACACAAAAAAAAAATATATTTAAGTGCATTCCATAGTTACACAGAATTATAGAACATCACATAATAATCACGTTCTAAATTAATACTGCAAAGAAAGTCAAATAAAGAAAGCCGAAACCACATCTTGACGTCTTAATTATCTTATAAATTCCTCCTTTATTCTCTCTTCTTATTACGTCTTCCTATCTTCTTTATTATTCTTCGTTATGCATTCGCAAACGCACAATGCGATTTCAAGCTTGACCTGAACTTTACGGGCAAGTCTTGCGCTAACTTTGTCAGGCTCTACCCAATTACGTAACCGACAAAAACTTCGTCGGTATGACCAACGAACCAACAGTGGTTTCTCGCTGTTTAGCGTCCGTAATAGAACTTAATACCATATTTTACGAGCTCGTAAAACAAACGATTAAGATCGCCACGGACCGTTATCGATGCTATTCGCTCGTCCTGTAGCTGTATGTCGTAAAATTGGTAGCAAATTAAATGTTGTTCTCCAAAGGTGCTTTCCGTACTTAAACGCCGCTGTTTATTGCACGTGGAATCATCAAAATGTCCATTCAATTACAGATTTTAACTTGAAACTGCAGCTTTTATAGAGGGTACAAAGAATTACAGCAAAATAAACTCTTTCATTGTAGAATCTCGATTTTTGTATCGATTACACCACCTCTCTCTCTCTCTCTCTCTCTCTCTCTCTCTCTCTCTCTCTCGTAAATTAAATTTTAAATTAAATTTCATTGTTAAAATTTACTTGACTTTATAATATTAAATAATAAACTCCTGACATTATCTGCCAATGTATAGTTTTACTGTTACAACATGATCCCTTTCCGTTCGCTTACACCGTTTAGTTATAATCACACCATTTCCTTATCCGAGTTACGGAGTTAATACGTCGAAGTAACAACTTTCGCGACAGAACAATAACTATGGAACGGGCTCTCATTATACCGAGACTAGATTAGCACGGCAGTTCATTAAGTTTGCGAGCTATGTAGGATCCGGGACGATAAATATTTACGTACTGCCGAATGTGGGTTACGTTTGCATATCGCACCCGCGGAAGGATATTAAGAGCCGTTACGAATACTATGGATCGAGAACGACAGGGATACGACGCAGTCCCGATAAGGGACTTACTTCCTTCGACTCACGCATCACGAGTTGTCCGTTTTTATCATTTTGCCTTTAGCTATCAGCTCCCATTAACCCATGCTACAAACCCACATCCGTCCGTCTTACACGGCGTTATTTACTTATTCAAATATTTATTACCGTCGAAGTTCCAAGTTCCAACGTATAAAATTGGTTCCATCGGAAACTCACCTTTTTCTTAAAATTATCCTTCAATTATTGTTTATGGTATTTATAGTCGCGATTCCTCATATTTAATATTGTCTTAAGTACAGTCTTAAAATGTCAATCAAAGAGCTGTACTATCCTTGTCAGTATATATACATAGTCGATTTTATATTTAAGACTGTCTTAAGGACAGTCTTAAGATGTCTTGAATCAATGAAGGAGTATTAGCATCTTAAGACATTACTTAAGACGGTCTTAAAACAAGGACAGACTATGAATACCAGGCCTTAAGACTAATCACTTAAAACGATCTTGAAATAAAAATGAATTATAAATTAGTTAATATATGTTATTATATAAGTTAGCCGGCATATTATTAAATTTCATAATTAGTTTATTAAGACTTTTACTCATCTACCAATTTTTATAGGCTCAAATTTTTGGCTCGTAGTCCTTTTTCTTTTAACTTGTTTTGAGTTACAAATACCTATATTTATATAAAATATCTTTCTATCTCTTTCGATTGTCTCGATACCCTAACCGCTTGCTTTTCTTGTTATTTATGAAAATTATTAATTGTCAAATATTAGCTCTACTTTTTAAGCTGATATTAATTCAACGTTTATTCTATATCCGTCACGAAGAATACAAACGTTTGGAATGCCATCGGCTGAAAACTTGGAGGGAATTTGGAAAAAAAAAAAGGTCGGTAGAAATCAATCGCGTGCTGAAAAATTATTAGGATACATTCGAAATTCAATATACTTAGATCGGAGTGAGGGACAAGCTCTCAGAAATGATCGATGACGACATAATTATTAATCATTTGGTACTTATCGCGATACAATATCTCTTAGGAATCGTGTGGGAGAATGAATGGCCTGAATGCAAACGTCGATCGATCCAACAGTCAGATATGAAGAAAACTTGTGGGCGAAGAGATGTATGAGGCGGTGAGAAAACTATTTTATTTCTATGACAAAGAAGCTCTCTTCAATACGTATTCAACTGCTTATTCAGATTCAATTCTGATTGGACGATGAGCGTGCTCGAGAGTTTTCAAGAGCGCCCCAATACTCGCCGAAGTGTGCTCGTCAGACCGCGTGACGCGTACAACAGAGATTCGTATAAGAGTAAAGGCTTGACATCCCCGGGGATGCCAAGAATCCTCAGAATCCCATCATCGTATTTTCTCGCCACTCCGCCACTCTGTAACATCTACATCATTTGCGCCTTCGTGCTATCTTGTTTACGAAAGCTGGACGTAAACTACCGAAATAGAAAGCAAGAGAGATATAGACTGAGCGATATTTGCGAATTATATTATTTTGGACACGTTGTAATATGTATACGCGACTTGGTGTTTGCGAGAATATCCTAACCAATTTGGCTCGGTATACTCTATCGGGGAGCTCGCCAATTTGTGATGCAAGCGAATACAGAATCCGTACATTGTGCGAGCATTGAATTATTATCTCCGTTACATCTCAAATGGCAAAGAGCGTTATAGGTCGAATTCTATACCGCAGCACTCCACCTCGCACGTTTCATATCATATTTAAAGGGTTTTACCCTAAGACTCTGTTTGCTCGATGCCGCCGATTTTCGTTCTATAACCGACTTGCACTTTCGAAGCGGCTGCGAGAAATACACGCGACGATACACTTGTTTTTTTCTTCCATCGACTGCTACATTCGGCAAATGAATGGCTTACGATCGCGTATGATCGTTTATTCATACGTCGCTCATAAATGAATCATCACGCATTCGCTCGTGCGTCTCGGATGGTCGACTCTCACTTCAATGACAATTACGTTCGCTTTCCGCTTGCCTTGGCAACGACATGAGGACCCCAAGGACGTCTTAGACGAACGTCTCTCTTGTGACATCCACTAACTTCGTCCTCGTTTCCTTCCACATCGCTCCACTTTACACTCGTTTTACTTCCTTTTTTAAAGCAACGGTTATTCAACAAAAATAAACTTTCAACTTTTTGCGAATTACTCCCACGTTGCTATAAACACTTCAGAAATTTCACGTTTATAATTTTCAAATAAAGTACCATAGTTTGAAAAACTAAAATAGATCAATTACGAAAACCT